TATATCTGTACGGTTGATAATACGAACCAAGTTCGAACATAATGTAAAAATTCACCGAAAGCTGAATATTGGCATACACCTACTATATACTTCATTAATGATCATACTTAAAGTTCTGACGTTTAACCTTCGTGCTTGCCCTTCTAACCACCCCCCCCGCCTTAAAAGGGTGGTTTTACAATGTTTTTACTTATAAATCACTATCCTTGGAACTGACGACCAAAATATATAGAACTAAAATTAAAGACTATTACATTTACCATAATATTATAATAAATTTTGCGTGCGGGAGAAAAGTACTTGTTAAAATTATTTAAAGCACCAGCAAACACTAATAATACATTAAATTGTCACAGGTATGATGTATTCCGAAAAACAGTGGCTTCCAGCAAAAAAGAAGTCAAACTTTCTCTACTCCCTCCAACAGTCGATTCAGCAAAGCAGCATTTGCTTAGGGTTTACTTACAAGTACAACTTTGGCGTGGAAAAATACTTAATCCGTTAGACTGGGGCTGGGAAAAAGTATAAAAAAAAATAATACCGATCTTTACAAAGAAACCACCAGCAACAGACTCCCTTCTATCGGTTATAAGTTGTGCTTGCACTAAATCATGCGAGAAAAATTGTGGCTGTAAAAAAGCGGGAATGCGATGTTCCATAATGTGTAAAAATTGTCAAGGCACATCGTATTTAAACCAGCAACTAATTTGTAATGATGATGACGACGACGATGACGTGGAGTTGTATAAAGATGGACAATGGACCACTAGCATAGACAAGGAAGACAACGAATAACATGATGAACAAATGGATATATAGACACACCATTATGCAAAAAGACCGCTGTGAAAAACTGCACCACTTCATTAATTAGGTATGAATTTACTTTAAATTTATATATATAATAATTGTATACTATAAAACTAAATAGCGTTCAATTTTAGATTCTGAGTGAAACGATGTATGTATTGATTTTACAATGATGTGTGGTTTTTTTTTTTTTTTAATTTTTTTTTTGTGTCTGTCATCACGATTTAGGACAGTAAAAGTGCTTGGATTTTCTTCATCAGTAGCTTTTCTGATAGGAAAGTGAATCTAGTTGGTACTTTGGGGGGGTAAAAGTATCCTCAGTAGTTTTCACTAGCGCCGGGAAAAACAACATAAAAATTAAGGAAAAACGGAAATTTTTACGCAAAATTGGTTTTCCAAAAAATCGATTTTGGTTTTTGGTGTAACTCTAAAACAAATGAACGTATATACATGAAATTTTCACTGGTTGTTTATATTTGCATTTTCTATACACGATAACATTTTCAAAATATTTTGATTTATTTTGAACTGTTTAGGGACATTTTCATTTTCCATTTTTTTTTCTAAAAATATCAATAAAATTTTATTTGTTGGTTGCGAAAGCTTGAAAATTTAATAGAAGGCTCCTAATATATTGTGTCAAAGGCAGATGAAAAATATTAAAAATCCTTAGTCACAATTTTTTTTATAAGCATTTAAAGTTCAAAAATTGTAAAAATATGGAAAAATCACGAAAATTAGCGAATTATTTTGAGTTAAGAATTCGTAAAAATTTTTCTTTTTAAATCTAAGATTTGAAAATGTAATACAAGATTACTCATAAGTTTGTCTACCTTTATCAATAAAAAAATCTCTACCGGAAAGTCAAATTAAATTTTTATGAGCGTTTGAAATTCAAATTTTTACAACATTGGGTGTTCACTCGATTTCTCATGTAACGATTTCCTTATCTTGTAATTCAAAAACGAATAACTGTAGATACATTAAAATTTCACTGAATGTTTATATTAGCATTTCCTATACACCATACAATTTTGAAAATATTTTGACTCGCACAGTTTTTTTTTATAAGCATTTAAAGATCAAATTTTGACAAAATTTATCAAAATCTCGAAAATTATCAATCATTGTAATTAATAAATTATAAAATGTTCAGTTTTTATAGCTAAGGATTACAAATTCAACACAAAGGTTCTCATAAATAGTTCATACTATAACCAAAAAATCTAAAAAATATATGAACACACTTATTTTTTACAGATATTTTAAATTCAAATTTGGACGAAATTACATATTAAAAAAACCTAGAATAACTGTTTTAGTTATTTTGTTGTGATTGAATAATATTATTCGTGGGTACTTGAAACTTCTAAAGTGTACTATTATAATATATCTATGATAGTATCACGGTTTTTGTTGATGTATAACGCGTTATAAGTATCTAATGGATATTGTGATATGATTAATTTGGAATCTATTATAGGTAACTATTATAGGTCAATTTTTTGTTTAATACCATAGATATGTATATAATATGTCTTATACATAGACTGACATACCGTCACCGCTCAGAATCGTTTTTCTTATACAATGATATTATATCATTGAATTCAAATTTAATACCATCCATTATACAGTGACCCACTTGTAACCTACTGTACAGCAGAGCTACACCCACTTGCCCACCTTTTTTTTTCATTTTAATTACCATACTTACTCGATTCAGTATAAGTGACTACATTTCAGCCAATTTCACATTAGAGAAGAGTTCAGTAATATAACGATACTATTATAATTCAATAGACATTCTAGTATACAATTGATTGCGATTTTCGGATTACAAAATAATGTCACATAAAAGTAGGTAGGTACTTTATGTTTATAACTTCACAAGTTGATAAGTTAATGTATGTGATTGTAACCATTTTTAAATTACCTATACGGCTACACCGGCCACTGATTAGTGATTACTAAGACCAAGTATACCTACCTATTAAAATGACACCCACCCTAAACTTTTTGGCGGTTCAGTGAACCACAAAATACATGATCAAGCGGCCTCTGTGTTCAAGAGGGGATGATCCAAAAATCTTGAAAATGGCAGAACTATGAAAATTGTATATTTTTACTATCTACAGGCACTAAAACAGTTATTCCCAACCTATAGTCCACAGACCACTTTTATCTTATAATCTTATAATCTTGGTGGTCCGTGAACCGTTATAATAAATATAATAATATAATGTATATTTTAGTAATTTGGGTTAAATTATTAATAGTATTAAACTTTTACCTAAACTTGATCAATTGAAAACATTATTATAAGCCTGCTATAATGAATTTCATTGTTTTTTGTTTATTCTTAATCTAAATTTTAAAATGTGTGAAGTAAAATAATTTTTTTTTTAGGAAAAATAAGTTCTGAAATTGAAGGGGGTCCGAATTTTTTTTTTTTTTTGTCTAATATTTATATATTTTCAATGATCGTGTAACCCTTACCTACCTCTGACTATGTAGGTAGACATGTATGTATTATTTTTTACCTACCTTAATATTTGTTTACTTAATACTTGCATAACATTTTAAAAAGGTTGAATTACTTTAATTATAAATGTGTAAAAAAATATTATTTATAAACCACTGCTGATGTAGGTAGTAATGTAGTGTACCTACAAATATAAAATTGAAAATAATAACAGGGTTTTTCAATCATCGATGAACTAGACTACCAAACTAGACGTCCAAAATTGTTTTTGCACCATTCATGTGAACTTACAACTATTTCTTTAATTGGATAATGGATAGTAATTTGGTTAGCTTCATAGTAGCTACCATTCCATATATTATTAAAATAATCATTGAACACTAGTGCAATTCGTTCCTCTAAAAATAGTTACGTCTTTATTAAAAATACAATATATATATTAATGTTAGAGCATGAACTTTTAGTAAGGTACCTACCTATTTTAATTAAGAATCTTATGTTTTAGTAAAAATAAAACATTTAAGTAAGATTGGTATTTTGTTTCTATGTTAGGAAGAACCTAGACAATCTTTTTAGCTAACACAAAGGGTGTGTACAAGTACAATACACTTAGTCCAGTAAGAAATGTTCACTCTGAGGTAGGTATAGGAACCTACTAAAGTAAAAAATAAAAATAACTGTGTAGAGATCCCATTCTACATTACTTTATTGAATTATAATACATAACATAATAATATTGTTTAATATTAGTTAGGTACATTTTCCTACTAAATAGTTATTTTAATTTGTTTAAATTAAATAATATTTAAATTAATATTATATTATTAAACTAAATTAAATTATTTGATAAATGATAAAAAAAAAGCAGGCAATTTGAAATGGGCCAATGAGAACGTGGTATACATAAGGCGCTCTGTGGCGTCCTGGGTTTCCTAATACGCGGCCGGTCAGGTATTGGTTGTGACAATGTGACGTCTAATGCAAATCAGTATAATATAATTATTACTCCCATATTGAAATATGAGTATAAATGTAAGTTCAACCAATGTACATATAAATTATAAACATAGTAGGTATATACCTACAGGCATTGATTAAGCCTTAGGCTGTTAGGTTTTCTCGGCACCAAATGTCAATAAAAATTACCTCCCATTTAAAATTTACAATATTATTTATTTTCTCATTCTTCTATCTGAAAATAATACAATCAATTTTAACAAAAACAAAATTCACGATGCCCTGAAATTTGGTTGGTGACCATTGAGGATATCCAATTCATATAGCGTCTCAACTCTCAATCTATTTTTATATTTAACTTCAGATCCATAAATAAAAATTTGTTATGAATAACGACTAGTTTCAGATGTAATATTTGATATCCAGCATTTTTTTTATTAGTTAAAATAATTTTATTTGATCTGTTAATGTATTAATAGTGAGTATATGTAAAAAGATACATGGATATGAAAGATTGGTTGAGAGGAATTTATGGCATCACAGCAGTAACACTTGTTGTGATTTTTTGTTACACATGAGAATAAATCAATAAGTAACATGATAGGTACATAATATAGCAATACTTCTTAGTAATAAATAAAAATCAAACAAACAAAAATTAAAAAAACTTAAATTTATTTTACTTATAAAAAGTTGATACATTAGTAAGTATCAACTTATTAAATTAATAAATATAAACAATTAAAAGTTAATACTTAATAGTGGTAATCAAATTTTTCATGGCTGCCAAGTTATTTTGAAAGGATAACAAAATATGAAAAAACGAATTTCTGAAATACAGTTTTAAATTATTCAACAGGAAATATTAAACTAGGTATTTTTTCTAATACATACTTATTTTTCAGTAAACAATAATCAATGACATGTTGCTTATTCAAGTTTCCAAAGTCGTCATTGAATTCAGTAATTGCTTTTAAAAACGCATCAATAATTATGTGGGATTCCAATATTTCTTCAGTTTTGAATACATTTATTCTGAAATGTATTGTTTTATTTAACTATTGTAATAATACTTAAGTTGTATAAATTATTTAGGTACTTACTTAAGCATAATTTTGATAATATTTGATAATTTAGAACAATAGTCTTTAATTCTCTCATCAACATTTATTGTTTTAAGAACACTACATTTTAGTTCATTTTCAGACCAGTCGCGTTTAAATCCATTATCATTATAAAAACATGAGCTATACAAATCAAATGATTCTGTTAAAATATGAAAATAATTATTTATATACATTATTTACCAAAATGTATCAACTTCTTTTGAAATATTGTGCAAAATGTTGTCAATATTAAGATCATTATTGTTTGAAATGCTTAAATGACTTAATGGATAAAACAACTTATCACCTAGTGTGGTACCTTCTAGTTTCTGTTTTAAATATCTTCTAGCTTTCTGAAATTCAGTTATAAATTTTAACACAGATATCATATTATACCTACCAATGTAATAAAATCATTGGTGATTAAATTGTGAATATAATATATTAAATTAAATTATTATGTATAATAAATTGAAAATAAAGTTAAGCAACCGGAGCAATCAATGAAGTACAAAGTAATAACAGCTATTATAGTTTAAAAAGTAAGTATACAACTGAATACAGACAATGATATTTTATACCTATTTATGTTATAATCAACTTCAACTATCTTAAAATAAGATACCACAATATTAACAAATATACAGTCTGTGTAGTTGTACTAAATGGACCATTTAAGGTTTAACCCAGGGGCGTCATTTCAACGTTTTTTTTGTCGGTGCGAAAATGTTTGCAGGCCATTCAAATCATTACCAGGCTATACATAGAAAACGTTTCTTATTTTTTGGTGGGGGGGGGGGGTCAAGCGGGGACAAAAACTGTAGAATATTTGTATACTTTATTTAATGTGTCACTTATATTAGTATGAAAATATCACAATAATGTTACTATTTTTGACGAACTATGGGTTGGTACTTTTAATGTATTTATTTTATATTGTGGATCATAGGCGTGAGAACGGGTAGGGCTGATTGGGCTTTAGCCCTACCTGAGATTTTTTATAAGTGGGTGGGTTGGTACCTTATGAAGACGTGACTAAAAATAGGTATAGCCCTTTTGGTTTTTACTTTTTAAACGTTTGTGTTTACCCGAGAGACAGAGACTATACAGGGCGATTTATTTAAAATTAAATATTAACGCCAGGTAAACGCCGCCCCTGGTTTAAACTTTAAATATAAATTAAAATCATACAAGCATTTAAGAAAAAGAAATGTCGCAAATAAAAATAAAAATAATGGAATCAACTATTAATAAGAACTAAGCGTTTTAAGTAAAACTAATAACTATAAGCTCTATAATTACATACATAAATATTACAAAAATGATTGAAAAATCAATTAAGTAAATGTAACTAAAAAATAATATATATACGTATATGCAAGGCTGGGCAAGTTAATGATTTTTTTTAACTCAGTTAAGTTAATATGTACCAATAACAAAAGTTAAAAGTTAATTCACACTTTTCATTAAGTTAAAAAAAAGTTAATTCGTTTATACAACGCTAGAGTATTTAATTTTTTTCCAAAACTAAATTAAAGACTATAGGTGTTTATACTTTATTCAGTATTTCCATATAAGTTAGATCCGAATGATATACATTTTTAACTTTAAACAATTCAAGGTAAATATTTTTTGACATGAAAATGAAATAGACTGAAATAGTGAAATATAATAAAATCAAAAACAAAATAAATTAACGTAACTTCCTTTTAAAATGAAAAATTAATTCGTTATTTTCATGTTAATTGAAAAAACAAATTTAGTAAGTTAAAAGTTAAGTTAATGAAAAACCACAAGTAACTAGTTAAGTTAAAAAGATTACTCATGTCGTAATACCTCCACTGGGAGGCCTCTACGGTCTGTTTTATCTGTCTTTTTATTTTTGTTTTAACCTATATTTACCATCAATTGTTCTATTGTTCTTTTTTGTATATGATAAAATAATAAGTTTTTGTAAGACCATAATTATATTTTAATTTTTAACCATACAATTTATACATTAAGGAGTTAAATGTCTTCATTTTCTCCGTTCTAATTATTTAAAGGGCTAAAAACATTTATATTAATTAAAAGCTTATCAATCAATACATTTATTATATAAGTTATATGCATATTTTATACTTTATAGTTTATACCTAGTGACATAGGACTACTTCATGCGCAAACTTAATACATACTGGTTAGTGGTTGATGAATCAATATCCAATTGTCTTAATTATTGTAGACTGATTAGCAGAAGCGAACAAAATAAAAATTACATTGTTTTGGAATATATTATCATAATTTTCACTGTTATTCAATAGAAGTTCCCAATAGTGATTAAACAAATAATCAGATAAATATAAATTTTATAATAACAATGGAAGTCTAGTTTTAAATGTTATTTAAAGAAACAGTTGATTTAGAGAAATTAAATATTTGATGACAGTTTTAGTTAAGACTTAAGATAATAAGGCATCTTACCATCAAATCATATAAAAGTACATCAGTAATATGATAATATTCATAAGGTAAAGCAATTATAGTTTCTGTAGAGTACTTGAGAAAATTGTAAAACTCAGTCCAACTAAGGCTAACTTCAGGTGCTAATAAAAAAATCAAAATTAATAGCTTGAATAATGTTATGCATACTTAATATTTAAGCTCACTCAATTATAAATGAAATTTTATGCGCACAATTTAAGTGTAGTTTTAACTTACAGATTTGTTTAAGGTCATTAAAAAAATATTCCATACAATCCAATTGTTTTTTGGGGGCTTTAAGAAATTGATGAGGTGCTATTATATTCCAGTGGTCTTTTAACTTCACTAACAATTGAGTTAAACTGAATGGTTTTGACAATGAGTATATTTCCCACCACAATTTTTGAGTAAGAATTGAATATTTATTATTAAGACGCACAGCATATTTTAAGACCTGTTGAATAAAAACAACAACATATTTATAACAAGAAACATGAATAAAAATAGAACATTTTTCAGAAATAAGATTGATTCTTTAAACCACTGTATTTATCTTAAATACATGTCGTAAAAAGTATTGAAGAAATATCATCTGGTAAGTTGTAGGTACAATATATTTTAACCAATTTCTTGTGAATCAGTTTTACCTTTATCTATTAAAGTAAGAATAAAGTATAATTAAGGGGATTCGATACGGTGACTTTCTGTTTTTGTCTAACACACGCGCGACATAGTATTTTATGCCAAACATACCAATTGATCTAATGAAGCGATAAAAATTCTGAAAACAGATTTGAATCTGTCGTCAAGTCTACTTGAAATCGACTTTCCCGTATTAATGATATTATCCCCCAAATTCTTAAAAAAGTCATATTCAAAAAGTGTATTTAAAAATTCTGGTGTTTCAATTTTTGGAGAAGTTAAAATCATAAAAATCAAAAATGTGGGAAAGTCGATTTCAAGTAGACTTGACGACAAATTCAAATCTATTTTCAGAAATCTTATCTCTTCAATAGATCAATTGGAATGTTTGGCAAAAAACACGTCTAAAATACTATGTCGCCCGTGTTTTAAACAAAAACAAGAAATCACGGTATCGAATCCCCTAAATAACAATGATTTGTAACAAAACATTAGAATTAATTGTTTTATTACACAAAATTATGTTTTGACATGACTTCCATTTTTTCCTACTAGGATTTGTGTGAAGATGTAGAATACTAGAATTGATCATCAAGTAATATTTGTAGAAAGTTTGTACCACCTCTTGCTCAATGTTGAGCTTTTCTTCAATTAAGCATTTTTGGTAGAGGCCACAGGGAATAAGATTTAAATATAATGTACACCATAAGCAGAAATTCGGTGAAATTACTGGGAGGGGTGAGCTTATAATGCTCAATAAACCTATAGGTGCTAAGCAATTATTAATTACAACAAGACCAACTTACAACATTTTATAAACTTAATAATTTAACCATAAAAAAGTACAAAAACAATTAGCTGCCTACTCTTGAACTTTTTACAAGAATTCTAAACAGAAATTATTAAGTCAATAAATTAATTGGATCAGAACTAATTTAATATCTTCTAAAATTGTTAATAACAATAATTAGTTAAAATAGAATATCATTAGGTATTTTAATTGAAATTGTGAAGGCACAACCTAGGATGAAAGCTGATAAAAACTGTCAAAGGTTATTATATAATTAATATGTATGGTCGTTATAGAAAATTATTAGATATTTAGGCTCCCAGGGGGGGCTAAGACCTGCACTTAAACTCAGTCACCTCAAGCCAACGATTTCTGTCTATGATGCAAACTATTTTCTGTGGAACATGGAAAATCAAATTTAAGTACATAAGGTGAATGTAGAAGTACAGAGGTAGTACATAGTGTACATTGTTCTCTAATTTAGAGTCTAAATTATGGTGTAGGGGCAAACAAACAATGTTAATGTAGTTTTGAATAAATATAAGTGTTCATTGAAAATGTTAATACATATTATTTGATGTGCAAATAATAATTATAGAGTCAACTGATTAGAGTTTATAATATAAGATAATGTTCAAAAGAGGATTAAAAATATTATTATACTTACCCTTACTATAATATGTTCCAAATGAGGTTCAAATTTCATAATTGAATTTTTTTCAATTATTGGATAATTTTTAACAGCCTCTAAAATATAATAGTATTTTAAAATTTAGAAAAAAAAACCACTAGTCTACTAAAAATAAAAAATCATTTTTATCAGTATTTTATTGAATAATTTTACTTTCTAACTATATTTACATACCCATATTTATTACTTAAGGCTTTGTTTCAGAAGCAATAATGAGAACCAAAATCAAAAGTAAGTATTACATAGTTTTGTACTAAATCAAAATCTATCAACTTGTATAATATACATAATTTCTAACGCATTATCCTTTAGCATTATATGTTTTACTTGATGAGTGTGTTTAACGTATTCTTTAGTAAATTATTAGGCATTTACATTAAAGGCTTCCTAGAAACTATTAGCACTATAAAAGCCTAAATAAATCATGAAAACCTCAAACCTGAATAATTCATAGCTGAAGTATTAACATAAATTAATAAAAGTATTTATTATATTTGAATAAATAAAGGATTATGACATTAAACAAATAAAGATTTGTTATATAACTTAGAAAAATATTTAAGACAAAATACAATTCTTATATACACAAACTTAATTTTATTCAAATTAAAAACAAAGTAATTCGGCAAAATACATTGTTTTATAATTAATTTCAGTCAATAGGTAAATCTTATACGTTTTAAATAATAATTTCATAAAAAAAATTAAATATAATGATCATCACTTAAATTACAACAATAACAAATGTAGTACTTATTTAAATAGATACAATTAATAGTTATTTTATTTTTACAAAACAAAAATTTTAATTTAATCCATATAATGTCTACATTTATTTGTATAATATATAAAATATAAAAACACATTACATACAAGCCATTAGGTATTTAAACATATTAAGGAGATTATAACCTTAACTTACCCAACACTGATGAACATGTTTTTATAAAATTTACATTATTCAAATGAATAATACTTATGTAATATTATTGGACTAGTAATTAATATTAAGAACATGAAGAAAAAACCGTAAACAATATTAAAACCAATCTCTTTAAACTATTATTAATATGAAATGGTGGTCATTCATATGTCCGACATCTATTTGAAAAAAAAAAAACAATGTATCTATTTGAAATAATTTTAATAACACACATACCAATATGTAAGTATCTATGAATCAGCTTGACAATATATTTATTATTTAAAAAGAAAAAAGATTGATTTAAGAATATATTGTTTAAGACATATTATACATAAAAAAAAAGGAAAACATAATTACTACTATGATAGTATAATTATATTTTAATAGAATTCCATATCAAGAAAATATATACATTTATTTGAATTATTAAAATATTTTTTAAAAATTAGGATTATAATAATCCATAATATTTAATTAGAATTTAGAATTTTAGAATTAATTTTTTTGGTAAAATATGCGATTTACCAAAATGCACCATACATTTTGTGTATAACCTTCCACTTGTAACTTGATGAAGATGCGTCAAGTATGAAGGAAACCTCCTGAAAAAATTAGAATGACAATTTTGTTGAATGATAATATGATAATTGAAAATGAAAATTTAATGATAAATTTAAACATATTTTTTATTTGTTAGTTAGTCAATTATCTATAATAACATTAATAACCTAACCTAACTTAATACTATGTTGCTTATTACAGTTGGGAAATATATTATTAGTAGCTAATCTTGTATACAGAATAAAGAACAATAAGTAATTTTAATTACGTGTAAATATTTTTTAATGGAAATACCAGAACGAGTGATCTGTAGTGTAACCTTTGGGACAATGTTGGGGGGGGGGGGGGTTATTGTATGAAGCAAAAATGTTAGTGTCATCTGTGTAGGCACCAAGTGATTTATGAAGAGATTTTGGAGATTTTAGACAAAAACAGAGTATAGAAAAGAAGCTTTACTGTTTCATTGGGGACATCGGACAAGTATTGTGAAATTTACTAAATAGCTTGATGCTCGTACTGAAAAAGTATGGGTTTCAGTGGTTTAATAATGTGTATAATTTCAGGGTGAGCTAAAAAAAAATATAAGAGTTAGAATAATTTGAATGAGTTCCATGGGATGTTGTGTGGTTTAAAAACACCAAAAAGGTGATCGGGTAAAATATTGACTTTAACAAATAATTAGACTAAAAAAAAGTAGATGATTGTTAATCATTAATATATTTTTTGCTGGCCTATTAAAGGAACAAGTCATTAGTTGAATGATTGAATGAGAAAAGCTAAAATATTTTGGATAAACCTGAGATAACTTGTGTTTTTAGGATTTTTGTAGCTATGCTTAGATTTTTTTTTTTAATTTAAATAGTTTCCACATTCAACAAGTAGGTATTTAACATGAACAGAAATGTAAGTATTATTTAAGAGTGAAAAGTGTTTGTTGTGGTGGCTAGAAAATTATATTAATTGAGGAGGGATTTCAAATAATTTTATTATGTTTTATAAATAAATTGATTTTTAAAGTAATAGCAATATTTTATTATTCTTAAGTTTTTTAATTTGAATTTGGATAAAATGTTGTTTAGTTGTTTGATTAAGAGTATGTTATATCGCTTGATTGTGTGAATTTGGTAATTGCTATATGTATATTTATTTAAAAAAAAAAAAACTAAGTTTTAATAACCACGAGAAAGAAAAAAACAGTATTTTCAACATACTTTAAATGGGTTGCAATGGGATATGAAAAAATGAAAAGGTCACTTTGGACTAAAATCGAGTGATACCTATAACAGTCATTACTTACCTTAACATAAGAGATTCATGGATGGCTTGAAACTGGTTTTTGGAAGACTAGGTAGTTATAACCGATTGCAACATAAATTTTAAGTTTTCTAACAGAACTTTCAACATGTACATATTTGTATATTATCACTAGATATAGATAGCGTAATATAGCTAGGAATATCTTATTGTGAAAAAAAAAAATAAATACAAATATCTAACACAAAAACTGTAACCTATACCAAAACCATTTAAATTGATATTTTCAATGGAGTGTGGTCGTACAACAAGACATTTAGTATTTACGAGTAAATTAAAAAGGTTTACAATTCTTGATGGATTCTTAAAAAAACGATATACATATAATCTTTTAATTTAAATATGGACATCATTGTTTAAAAAAAATGCTCTAATAATGTGCTTAAACATGCAGGAAAAACAAGCATAAAAAATATTAAAAATGTAGATTTTAAAAAAAATAGCTTAGATAATGAAAAATATGTAATGGAAATGGAAATGGAAAAAATGTAGCTTTACACCGGGTACTGTCCAAGTCAACTTTTAATACATGCCGGGTAACAAGTATTGGTCGGGTACTGAATATCGGGTACCCGGTTTGGACTCTTTGGCTAGGTACCCGGAACACCTCTAGTAATTATTTTGAAGTAGAAAAAAAGTGGTAAAAATTCTATAAAAAAATGTTAGGCTATGTAAAAATTTGCCAAAGAAATTACTGTAAACAAGAATAATATACAATATCGGAAACCATAACCAAATGGTTTCAAAAACAGTTTTCAAGATAAAAAATGCATATGAGCATTTATAAATTGTAACATCTTATAATCTTATATATCTACTTGATAATTTGCTTAACAATTGAAGTATCATAAAAAAAGCCAAATTTATACTTTAGATAATGTTCTTAACTTTAAGTTGAATAATAGATCAATTTACTCTAACAATAAAGCTAATAACATAAGATTAGTTCAACTGAACAAAATTTTACATGTTCTAGAAGTTGAGAGGAAATTATGGTAGATTTATGCTAAGTAATTTGTTGAAAAATTTACAATTTTTGTTATTTAAGCCATTCTCTGATCCAGACGTACTATTACGTCCAAAACATTTACACCATTCACTGCTCCAGATGTACTATTACATCGCTGTACTTTATAATATTCTAATTTTCCGATAACAATACAAGTTTTGGAAACCATGGTTCGCATTATTTTAACTTTAATAGTTAGATCATATTATAGATCTCAAAATTAGTGTGAATAAATAGCGTAGCAATGAAAAGGTTAAGAAATATCAATATAATACAAAACTAGGTAGCAGTGTCATATGCTATCTACGTAATAAATGTTATCTACAAATTTTAATACACAATATCATATGCTATCTACTTATAAATGATATATAATTATATAAAAAAAATCTTACTTTGTTTTAAACCAGAGCACTTTATAAATAAATGAAGATTGCCAATGGATGTTCTCAATTAAAGTTGAAAAGTATTCTTCATATCATTAAAAAATATTTGTTGTATTTATGGAGCTCCACCATTATTTTTTAAGCTGCCTTTCTAGCAAATTAGTGACACCGTGCATATTTATACCATATTTCACCTTTATATGTTGCCAATAATATTCAACTGCTGTAAGCTTTTAATTCATCTGAGAAAATGGTAGTCCCCGGCTCAATTTCTCTTTGAATAATTGGAAACAAAGTGGCTCGGTCTCTTTTTTGACAACACATTGACTACAACACATTCCAAACACCCACAGTCATTGTACGCGTAAACCGTAATTTCAATTGGTTATTTAAGTATCAGAACTGCTACATTCTGATTCTACAATTAATTCTCTAGGTGGACAATTTCCTAGACGTAGACGACCATTAATATCGACTTAGGTGAAAAACGGATTTTTTTACGAATGGACTGATAATTTTGACACACCACACACTTCATTGTTAACCTTATTGATTTTTTCACAAAATTCTTGTTTAAGTAATACACTTTTTTGTTTTAAAAAATTCACACAAGTATCATCAGTATAAATCATATATGTGTATCATATGTCTATATAAATCAACAATTGAACTCATATTGAACACAAATACAAATGGCAAACACACAAGAAAAGTTCACAGGCAGAACTAATCATTGAAAAACCCTAGGTCTAACCTTGTAGAATGTAGATAAATATTATTACGATTGTATAGATAACATGAGACGATAAATAGTATTTGTAGATAGCATAAGACACTAATATTTATTGCGTAGATAGCATACAGCACCGCTACCTAAAACTACAAGTGATCGAAATTAAATACATTGAAATCATAAGCTATTATACAATTGTGAATTGCTTACAAATTTAAATATTTTTATTGCTTATTAGTATAAAACTTATTGTATTATGCAATACACAAGGATATTCTTTTAAAGATAAACTAATTTTCTCAAAAGGTATTTATGAGATTTGGAAATATTATTATTATTATTATTATAATTTATTTTAAGTTTTTTACTTTTTAAATTTTAAATTCCCATTCCCAAAGCCAAAAATCTTTTAGAAAATTTTAATATATAAAAGTTGAATTTCGAATGAGTAGTTAATAGTAGATCAATATAAATTATAACTTTTAAGTGTTTAAAGTTTGGATGAACATATTAGTGAACCAACATTTTGCAGGATATCCCAGCCACTGCAATCAATTTATCTAAACTTTAAAAACTTATAAAATATACATTCAAAGCTTAAAAAAAAAAATTTAATAATAGTAAAAAGATATAATGTTTTTGTATTTACTTTTTGAGAAAATAAGTATTCCCCTTCTATTAAAAGAATTTTCTTGTAATGTATGAGCAAATCTATTAATATATCAGTATAGAGTATAATATTATATAAGGTATTCAAATGGATTGTTAATTATAAACAAGTTAATTTACTGACAAAAATCTAACAACTAACAATCTAATTTGGTAGTAGCTTATAAGGCTATAGAGGATTTGACATTACTGATGTTCTTAATGCATACCATAATAAATACTATATATACTAGATGGAGATTACAATTACGGATATCAGTCTCTTGGAAAATATTTAATAATTTATAAACTTTAATTCATCAATAGATTTTATCATTCAAACTTAAATTGAATTATAAATATAAATGTTAGGTACTAGGTATTTTAAAATCATATGTGCAATTTTAATTTAAAAAAAGAATATTAATTATTATTTTAACAACAAAAAATAGAAAATTCTGAATATAACAAAATGAGATATTATTATGTACCCATTTTCATAATCTAATTAAATGTTGAATGATATATAATAAATTAATGAATATAAAACTTATTTATTAATTATTTGTGTAGTAAGATCCCATAGTTAAATTACTTTGGATATACATTTATAATTTGAACAGGTACTATACATAGTTAATAGTAAATGTGAAAAATTATTAAAATAGATTAAATAAATTTGTAATACAATTTTTTTTATTAATACTAAAATAATAAAGTTTTTGATCATGGTTCTCAAATATTTTTCTTCTATTTATATTTAGTATCAAGTTAACGTAAGTCAAATAAATTTATTTTTGATTGTAAAATTATAATTGAAATTGTTTTATAAGTAAAAATCAAATAAATAGCCAAGCCCTGGAAATTAAAACTTAATTGAATAATTCACTATAAAGATAATAATCATAATAAAGTTCAGTTTTACAATTGAAATGCCTTAGTTTTTCCAGGCAAACAAATCAATATTTATATCAATGTTTTATGAATATATTTAGTTGAGCCATAACATTTTGACTAATAGAATTTCTAAAAAATGTTATGGAGTAGAGAAGCTTTTATCAGCTAAAGCTGTTGTCACAGATAAAATTGAGTCATCAATTTTTCAGGCATGAAAATGTTATCTATAACAGTGGTAATTTATCATAGCTGTTTATTATAATCTAAATAAAAAATTGTTTTGGTTTTGGGTGGTATGTGTCCTCCGTGGCTATGGCACTACATACCGGTATTAGTATCTTAACACTACCAGCTCTAAAATGAGTAAACTGTTTATTAAGAAATACTTAATTTATTTGTCTGCACTTTGGACATTAGGAATTATATAAATAATATATTGTGATCATTTAAAATAATGTTAAGTTTAAATTATGTAATAAAGAAGTGTTATTATTTAAGCTAAAATGTAATAGCTTTCTCAATATAAGAATTTATTTTATCTGTGTATTTTTTTTTAAATTTACCCATTTTAGTCATTACAAAATGTTTTTAATGTTTATTTAAGTATGCTAACTATCACTTTAAATCAGGTAATTATATTATCATGGCCACTCATTATTTCAAAACGTATGGTTTATGAAAAATTATATTTTTAATATGTTTTATCCTTATAATTGTTTAAGTTTTTATTTTTTTGCATGACAACAGTTTTCATTTCAAATTTCAAAGCAGAATATTTTTTTAAATATTTCAATAGATAAAAAGCGAGTGGTTGTCGCTCTGCTGTACAGTAGGTTACAAGTGGGTCAATTTAGAATGGATTGTAATAAACTTGAATTCAATGATATAATATCATTGTATAAGAAAAACGATTCTGAGCAGAGACGGTTTGTCAGTCTGGATTTTTTATATTGTTATTATTTATTATGGCCTGTAAGTTGAATTAATATTATAATTTTTTATTTGTCGCTTTGATGATAAACAAAGCGTTAAAATTTAAAATCTAATTTTTAGCGGTTTTTCATAATTTTTCGCTAGTTTTTCCCATGGCATTAAATAACTATTGAGAAAATTGAAAAATGACCTCTCTAAAGTACCATCTTCATCTAATTTGCTAAAAGTTAAAGTACTAAATCAAATCACTTCTTCTGGTAGACATTCTGTATAAAGGATAAAAAAAAAAAAAACACCATTGTAAAACCACTAGCTTCCTCGCTCCCGCTCAGAATCTAAAATGAAATTTAGGATGAGTAGTTCGTGAGTTATAAGTAGAGTGCGGATTTGTATGCATTTGCATATTTTTTCTGGTATGATATGATAAGTGAATACAGAATCTGTTTCATGACATAACAATTTAATTAACAATTAATAGGTACAAACGGTTTTCTCAAATATATTTCGGAATTAATTTTTTCTTATAGATTAAAACTACCAACAAAATACAAATTATTTAGGTACCAAATAAATTCCTTAAGATACATTTTTGATATTAATTGATTCTTATTTTTTTCTTTTAGATTAAAACTACTTAAGAAACAAAGATATTTTAAAGAAAAAGTATTTTTATTAGCATCTTATAATATTAAATGTATTATTTTAATTAAATATTTAAAATATAAACGTCTTTTTAGCTCATTTTTTCATGCATATATTTATGCATATTTAAGATTTTTTAGTGCATATTTAATTGATTTTTAATGCATACAAATCAGCACTCTAGTTAAAAGTATATTAAATTTAGATGAACGGAGTGTTCATCTAAATTTAATATACTTTTAACTAGAGTGCTGATTTGTATGCATTAAAAATCAATTAAATATGCACTAATCGTCCTAAATTCAATTTTTGTTGTATCGAAATACTCAGAAAAATATTTAACTTTCAAAGATTAAATTTAAAATGTATGTTGTCATTAAAAAATGTAAAAACTGAAAAAAACTACAAGAATAAAAATATAATTTTTTTTACAAATGTTGTAATGACTTAAAACCTTGTAAATAAATACATTCAAAAACATTAAAACTTTTTGAAATAATGAGTGCCTTACGTTAAATGAATCACACTGTATATCGCTTACCTTGGAAAATGTCTGAGTTGTTTTGATTCGTATTTTTAACTAAATTTTGGATCCATACTGAATTTTTTACTGATATTCCATTAACTTCTGATTTTATGCTTAAAATTTTATCATCGGTAACTAAATACTGTAAAAGATACACATTTATTTAAAATATTTACTATGTTAAATATATTATTAAGGGAATGCCACATCCACATGTGTTGTTTCTGTCTTACAAACGTACAACATAGCAAATTTTACATTAATAATAATCCATTTTACTTGTTATTTTTAAAAGTAGTCAATTGACCCATGATACAATTTAAAGGCAAGATTATTATCTAGACTATAGAGCATTTTGGAGGATTTTATTGATATTATTTTAAAGTAAATTATAATCATTTTAAAATGTAGTTTCAAAAAGGTCACAACTTGATTCTTAGTAAAAATATCATTGAAAGCCTAGGAGATGCTCTAGATAATAATCTTACCCTTAAATACCTAATTGTATAAGTCAATTCACTCTAATTTTAAAATGTATTATTGTGAACGTAAAATTTGCTATGTTATAGGTATGACGTTATTTGTAAGACGGAAACAACACATGCGGGTGTGGCGTCCTCTTTAAGAAATTTGAGATAATAAAAAAGTAACTGTAGGGAATTGAGAAGTATTTTATATTACCAAATCTTGAGAGTTTTTGCTTAGTTTGCCCATATTTAAGTAACAAAATATGAAATGATTTTTTATATTTAAAAATAAAACTATTACTTCATAATATTATATTAATAAAGTTATTAGTTTATTTTATAACTATATAGTGTTATAAACATACATAAGTAAGGTATTTTATGAAAGGCGTATTTGATACAAAATATTCATAAATAAACAAATATAGTAAGAAGTCAATTACTTACTACAATATTCACTCTCTCTTTTACAGTTATGGCACACCTTAAAATATCATCATCAGAACTCAGAGACGATTTTTTTGTCATTGGCTGTCCTTTTAATCTTGGATGACGTTTTGAAAGCATATCTAATAGCCATCGGGAGGCTTCACGTGCTCGATATCCAAGTAAATTTTCACCATTTTTTATGCAGTCAAGTTCTTTTAAAACTTGCCATGGTAATACAATTGTTGGATAACCATAATCTGAATGAAATACATTTTTAAATAAATAATCTTTATATATATAATTCTACTGTACGTGTGTTTGTAAGCGAACTCTAATTAAAAGGCTAGACAGATTATTTTTTGTCTGTTTTAGTGGGCCCTAGAATGTTTTAGATTCACAATCGGACACGGTAGGCCCATTCCGTGGAGGTGCTCAAAAGGTAATGTTGAGATTTATGGTGGATATTTTTGTTTATAAATGGTTGCCATGGGTTTTAAAGCTATTATAATAATAAATATTGGTTGCCGTGAAATCAGAAATAATTTATAAACAACGTTAATAATTAATAATAATTAATAATTAAAACCAACAAACATTTTTAATTTTTTTATAAAATGAATTGTTATCGATAAAGAATTTTGTAAGTAGTTTAGTATAGCAACGCGTACATAAAACAATGCCATATATATATAAATTAATTAACCTTTGTGTGTAGATTGACCCTTGGGAAGAAAACAGGCTAATTTAAAAATGGTTAAATTTGGTTTTTTTTTTATTCATCTGATATTAGAACGGTTAGGATTTTGTATTAACTGATTATATTAATAAACCATAGATGGAATAAAAGTAAAACAAAATTGGTATAACTTTGACACTTTAGAGTTAAATCATACATTTACGTACAAACATCAAGGGATCCGCGATCTACCGCAGGTAGATTGCCTACCTGATAATATACTGCTGCGAATCAGAATTATTATTATTATTCCGGGCAACAGAAAAGTTAAGATACATTTTGAACACCATACACTGAATATTAAATAACGAATTGAACAAAGTTTGAGTCATATAGATTTGGTACACTTAATGGGTAACAAAGTATACGGAATCAGCTAGTCTATATATATACAACTGCATTAGTTAATAATTTACCAGTTAAATTTTTATCTATAAGAATAGTAATTGATTTCAAATCTGATAAAAGTATATTTGTATCAATCACTAAACAGTAATTAATTCTATCAGAGTGCATGATTGAATCCGGTGTCCACTCCATAGGTTCATACTCATGTTTAGTTCTTCTCAAGTTATTAACCTTATGAAATTTAATCAAAATTAATAAATTAAAAATCAAATGTATAAAAATTATTTTGTTGTTTACTTTTTCAACTATGTCGTCTGTTTCAATTATATCTTCCCATTCCATAGAGTCATCATTATTAAATTGCGTACTAAATAAATTAAAATTATATTTTATATTTATTAGGTTAATGAGCACTAGTAAAAGTGTTTCAAGAGCAATTTTATATTCACTACTGTTTTATTTGATTTTCCTTTTTTAGATTCAAAAGCTACGCCCCATTGCATCAAAATATTGGTATCTATTATTAGTAGTATATATAAAACCCCCCATAAGATTACTTTATAATTACTTTTTTTTAATTTCAAATGCTTGTCGATTACAAGAAGTTTGTGGCCTAACAAAACTAAAAGAGTCTAGTTCCTTAGATTTTGAATTTGTTAAAATGCATCGATTTCCAAGTTTTGTTGATACAATTGTTTCTGATGCTGTAATTAGATTATTAAATACAACAATACAATTATCATTATATTATTATTTTCCACATAATCTATTAACTATTATTTCAAGTCATGAATTAAAAAATAAAACAAATAAATCTCACCGGAAGAAGAACTAGATGAATTCATATTATTTAGAATCGGTACAATTGGTTTTTGTTGTACATTCATTAGCCGTTGATCAATACATTTATTCACAGACGAATTGTTGTTTAAAATAATTTTTTTAGTAGTTGACACAAGCCCTGTTTTTTTCTTTTTGATACTTTCATTGGGTTGGTTTAACCGTTTTATTTTATTTTTATTGTTACGGCCCAATGTGTTTGTATCACAATAAATATTGTCTACTAAAAAAATTAAATAAAGATAAAAAACAATGTACATTGACAGTTTGTATAGCGTAGGTATTTCAAGATAACATCTTAATTTAAATTTAACAAAAATAAAATATTTCTATTTTAAACTAATAGAGTAGGTACATAACAAAAATCAGAAATATAAAAAAAATATTGATGAATGAGAAGATGATTATTATGTATACATTTCTGTAGTCAGTTGTATCTTGTATGTGTTACCTAGTCATTAACAAAATATTTTATAAGCCCGGGGAAAAAGTACCTTTTTATGCTTATAAATTATGCTTTTTGTATCATGATACATTTTTTTTTTTTTTATATATAGGAGAGAAACAACTTAATTTAAAGTAAACTGCTCATCTGTTGAGTTGCCTATATGACACAGTGTAAAAATTCAGATATAATTGCTACAATATTATAAAATATGGATAAAATACTAAAATAGTATATAAATACAATTTTAAAAACTAAATAGTTATTTATTATTATTATTTTCTGTTAATTTAAGGGTTCTAATTTTGTAGAATCATAATTTTTTTGTTGCATAAATATTATGTTACAGCAGATTATTTAAAATGGTACTTTTCCATGGATAATATTTAAAAAAACTAAAAAGTATTAAAACAAATACAATTTTAGATTTACTTACTTTCACATGTTGATGGTTTTTTAATTATTCCACATTTCGAAACATTAAATTCATTATTACCTTTAGATTTGGCAGTCATTTGTTCTCTTGCACTTATAAGTCTATTTTGTACAGAAGTTACTCCTGAAGTTACCGATTTATCTGCATAATTAAATAATAATATAATATTTAGCAAAATATAATTTTAAAATTAAAAATACAATATTTATGCAAATGTTTTTGTACCAACAATTTTTTTAAAACTAAATGGTCGCTGGGAAAATCTTAAACAAGATGGATTTATAGAATCATCAATCCCAAAACTACAATATCCATTAAACAAAATTATTAGATGGTTCAAAAAATAAAACTTGAAAGTTGAAACTAAATCTAACAAAAACCGCTGTTAAAATATTTACCGTAAAAAGATACTACGCAGAAACGTTTACATAGACAACCAGGTCAAACAATGGAATCAAAAAGATGACTCAGTCAAAAATCTTTGTTTTTCACAATGAAAAAATAACATGGAATGTCCACATAATTAAAAAAACTGACACAGAGCTATGCCAGGATGAGAATTCTCCAAAATAAATTTTAAATCAAATCTTCCCTCCTCCTTCTGACACTTCAATAATCAGGTCACTGATAGGTAACCTACCTAACCTACCTCGTTTGAAAGTCATCTTCATCTACTAAGATAAATAAGATTCAAATTCTTCCAAATATATTTCTAATTATATGCCTAAAAGCACACTGTGGTTAGTGGTCTATGAGGAATCATTAGATTCACAACGTGAAACATGGAAGGAAACCTCTTAAAAATCAATTATAAATCTTCCACAATATGCTATAAGACTCAGACAGAGCCCTTCACTACAACCTGGTAAGAAAAACCCACAACAGAAGTCTGCGGTCTTGACTACAGCAGGTCATCCTCCTAATGGACACGGAGGAATTTACATCTGAAGTTGAAGATCAATACCAAATACGAAATATTATTTTTACTATTGTTGTTATTATCACTATCATTGAGCAATATCAACTCGATAGATATTAATATAATTATATAATTGTATAAAAATAGTTGTAATAGCAAATGATGTGCTGAAACATTTTGTAACTATTAACATAACATTAATTAATTTAGTTAAAAACTTACATGGTGTATTAGTAATATCCTTAGTACGATCACAGTGCCCAGTATATTTAACTTCTTCAAGAAGATGTTTTTGTACAGTCGATCTAGTTTTATACTCATTGCGCTTTAAATTATTAGTATTACACAATTTAGAACTATGATTTTTCATTGGAGGTATATCTTGAAGACTCAAATTTTTTGAAGAATGATGAGATTCTAAAGTATTATTGCATTCATGAGAAATCTTATTAGATAACTTTTTATTAGCTTTTATAGCTTCTAATCGGAGTTGCATTGAACCGCCTCCTTTGAAGGCTTGTTTTAAAAAACTTGTGTTACATTTAGGTTCAAAATTTGAGTTTATATTTTTAGTTTTAGTTAAGTTTTTTGGTAAAGGAATATGAGTTGAAGTTTGAATATCTGTTTTATTAATAGATGACCATTGCTTATTTGTAATTTTTGACTCTTGAGCACTACTCATTGATTTAATAAAGGGCATATTTTGAACATTTAAATATTCTTTTGCATTCCTACACCTTGATAACTTTTCTTCAATGTTTTGTTTTGGTGCTAGTTTAGCACTTGATGAGGCATTTTTAGCAGCTTGTATGCGTTCTTCCAAAGTATTTTCGTAAGTGGTATTCCCGATTTCAATAGTATATCCATATATACTGTCTTTGGGACTTTCCAATACTGAACTTTTTTGATTATTTTTTGCCATTGTAAATACCTGATGAAAATACATTCAATTAAATATTAATCCATTAAAACTAAAATTATTATTTTTTATTTATTTATTTATTTTTGTGAAACATAATATATAATTTGCCGAGTAATTTGCGTTATCATTAGAGCACGGATTTATATGCATTTGCATATTTGTAATAATTGTATGCACGTCTAGGGAGTTCTAAAATGTACACGGTTCATCTCACACTGAATTTAAGCACTAAATTTTATATTGCATATTTTGCATATTTAGAGGATTATTACAAATTGGTTCATAAATAACATGAATATATATAAAGGGTTTTTAATAAATTACCTATTTTAATTTAAGATATATATATTTTAGTAATTTTAAAAGAAAAAAAAAAATTGTCGACAGTGTTTCTTACAAGAATATTCTTAAAATATTATTATTGACAGATAATTTATTTTTTTTTAATTTGAGTTTTCTGAGAGTTGTAGACATTGTATTTTAAACAATCTAAAATATTAAAAATGAAGATTATAAAATATTACATTTTGGTTTTTAAAGTATTAAATGTTTAACTACCTAGGTATTTAAATATTCTTTTGTTTCTGATAGAATATCTAGTAAGTACCTACTTTCTTTGGTATAAAAATATGTTTAAAAAAAAAAAAAAAAATCACATTTTATAATAGGTACTAAATCTTTATAAACATTTAATGTTTATTTTAAAGACCCAATAGTTATAGCCCACCCAACCAAATTATGAAATGGGTGCTTGAGCACCTTTTCAGATACGTGATAGCTGCCACTGATGATAATAATAATAATAGTATACTAAAGTGTCTATACTATAGTTTATTATGTTAACATTGTATAATACTGGACAACATGTCCACACCTCACAGTCATCCCCGGATTATTAGTGTGCTGTATCATGGTTAAAACTATACTGCGGCCCACGAAAACACGTTTGATTACGCGCATTGCCACGTATTTTACGTACACTAAATGGCATAAAGTGGAAGAATGACAACGGTCTGCATGCGTAAAAGTGGTATACTCTGTCGTGGGCCGCAGTGGTTCTATTAAAAACCAATAAACACAACATTTGTTATTACATTAAAATATTAATATTGATTCACAAACAAATAAAAATAAAATTATAATGCCTATGATTCAAAAGTGTTTTGATATCATTAAGTAAGTACCATCAAATTAAATTTAATAATTTTTAAATTTTAATTTGTAAAATTCTATAATCTTCTAAAATTCTATATAGGTATATAAAAATAAATGTATGTCCGTGTGTGTGTGTCCATATTACCATGGCAACCATAAATATATTATTTTGAGATTTCTGTCTGTGGGTGTCTCCATATTATCACGGCAACCAATTATATATTATTTTGAAATTTCCGATGGAATGTTTTGTATATAAATGGTTGCCATGGTGATATGTAAAACATATTGTTCATATAGAGTTGACAATTTTAATGGGCAACGTAGTGCAAGGGATCAAATATTTGTATACATATAGATAGATTAAGACCTCTGGGCAGAAGATCGGCTAATTTAAAAAGGGAGAGGACCAACACCGGGACGTGCTCAAACAGGAATTTTGAGATTTCCGATGAAAATTTTTGTTTATATATATGGTTGCAGTGGGTGGGTTTCAAAGCTATAATATTAATAATAATTGGTTTAAAATTGTTATGGTAACCGTTATATTATAAAAAAAAACATATTATTCATATAGCGTTGGTATTTTTAATGGGCAACAAAGTGCACGGGATCAGCTAGTACGTAATATAATTAGAACAATAAGCTGAAGATACAGCATCCGAATCGTTAAATGTTTTACAAAATTATAAATTTAACATGTAGGCTTGATGAAGGAGCCGTCCAGTGACAGCACTTCACAATGGAGTTTAATTGGTAAAAAAAAAAAACTATGAAACTTAAGAAATCTTGACGCCATATTTCGGCGCTCAAGAATTCCTAAACGAAAACGTTAAATGACTGATAATATATATTATATATAACCGATAAAATACTTACATAATAGTGTGGTAACGATTGGTAATAATTAATGCGAATCCATCAATACATGGGAATATTGTGGGCGAGAAGCAAATAAATATAATATAATTGATGTGCGAACGACGAACGCTGAGTTACGTACAAATTAACATATAATAGTACGTAGGTTGTGTATTGTATAATACAATAAATTATAAATTATTACACTACCACTAACTATGTACAACGTACATCGAGAGTAGGAACTTATTTGATATTGGCATATTATTGCACATTTTCACAGAAATAATGTTTTACTGATAACCATCATATTATTATATTATCTTTGAAGCCGATTTGGTCGGCCCCGATGTCACCACTGAGCATGCGCAAGACATTCCCGCAATTTTGTTACCCCGTCCCGCGCCATCTTTTTCATTCCACGAGCATGCGCAATGAATTCATCGGGGCCCCGACCAAATCGGCTTCAAGCGCGGACCACGCGTGATAATACAGGCGACACACGGAACCATAGGTATGAAAACGCATGTTACTGTTATGATGGGGCACTACGCTACGCCGCCATTTTGCGACTAAAAATGTTATGACGAAATATACGTACATATTATTATTATTATCTCCAACTCTCCAAGCAGGAGTTTAAACATAAAACAGCGTTCATTTTGGTATTTTTTTTTTTAACCGGGCATAACTAATTATCTACTTCTTGATCAATTAACACCTAATAAATTGGAAAAACTTTTGAAAAATTGTGCAGATGATCCTTTTCCATCGAATATTCGTACCGTTAGAAATTAAGTTTTTTAAAGGAAATTAGGAAACGTGCAAATTTTCTAATGAGAAACTAAATCAGGAATCACGTCGGGCGCATCTTGCGTTGACCGGTTTACTCCATTTCGCGTACGAGCCGAATGTTTTCTTTATTGCTAAGACAAGTATTTCACAACTTCACGTATTTATTATTTGTTTCATTTCGTTATCGGCTATCACTTCATTATCATCTTATACCTTATACCTTAAATTTGTTATACCTATATTAATTGATGTAATTTGTTAAATTGTAATAAATTATTATTTATTACTAGTATCATTATATAAACAACATGGTATGATCGCAAAAGTCCAGATTTCGTCCAGAAGTCCGCTCAGTACATCAATTGCTTACTCGTATATTATCATTAAATTATTATTACTATACACTACCCTAAGTCACGTGCTTACCGAAGGATCTGACCGTCAAAAAGTTAGGCTTAGGATCATACCTTGTTTTTATATCATGACTAGGTATAATAAATGAATGGCGGACAATTTCCCCCCGGACATTTTCCCCCCGACTGTTTTTGGCGTAGTAGGACATTTCCCCCCCAATATATATTCGATGCGGACATTTCCCCCCCATTTTTTTTTTAAGTTTATTATTTATTATTTAATAAGAAATTATTTTTTTTCAGTAAAATATAATTTTTTTTATAAATATAATCAATTATACTATAATTACCTATTATAGTAGTCAGTAGATATATATTTTTGATCAATTCAACTACTTAAAACAATAAAATAATAGTAATATTATATTTAAAAGATTGTCTAAATCAAAAATAATAGTACTAGCATACTGTATTATTCGCTAGTAACATTGAATAATCATGTTTGTCATTATGGCGATCTTCACCAATATTTCCTCCTTATTTATGGAATGCACATAATGCTACAATGAAAAACAGGTAGAACAAATAATATAAGTGAAGGTTTCAATAACAAATTTAAAACTTTGGTTAGAACTCAGCATCCAAATATTTGGATGTTCATTGAAGCACTACAAAAGTCAAATTCAATGGCAATTAATAAACTATTAAAAATTAAAACAGGTACGGTTTTTTTAACAAAAAAAAAATAAACATGAAAGACCGATTACAAAATATGTGCTTAGATATAAAAAAAGAATCAGAAATTAAATGTTTTTTACATAATATATCATTTTTATGTCGAAATTTTTAACCTATTTTACTTATATACAATTTTTTTATGTCTTATTATATTTATGAAAAAAAAAAAATGAAATTTTTAACCTATTTTACTTACCTATGTACAATAATTACTTTACGTTTTTATTATATTTATGAAAAAATGGGGGGGAAAATGTCCTACTACGCCAAAAACAGTCGGGGGGAAAATGTCCGGGGGGAAATTGTCCGGATACCATAATAAATATACTATATTAGACATTAGTGTATACTGTATATAAGTGTGTCTATGTCTGTGTGTTATTACTGTTGTTAGTTATTACTGTGTTCGCACATCGCGTACAATAATATTATATCTATATTGGTATTATTTAATTGTATATATATTCCATTTAAAGTGTACAAACAAAGAAGAAAAAATAAATAAAATAACTACTAATTGAATAAAAAAAAAAAACTTTGTGATAAAATAAAACTCCCAAAAAACTGTAGTCACAACAAATTTCTAAAAAATTGGTGATATCACAACAAAAACATTTCCTCGAACTCCATGTAAAAAAAGGCTAATAGCGTTTTCCACCTAACTGCACTAGCTGCACTTAGGGTTGCGTTGCGCAAATATTTTCGATATTATCGAAATATCGATATTTCAAAAAAAATTTCGATATTATCATATCGATATTATTATATCTCGATATTAAATTTTTTTTTAAATTTATAATAATCATAATTATCCACGCATTATTTTATATTACCCAGTATTATATAAAATAGAAGGTCTGTAACCACAGATATATAAACATAATAATATGTTTACCAACCACAGTTATCACGGTATCACGAACAGTGCCGTAACTAGGCTACTTGAGGCCTGTGTGCAAACCAAAATATTGAGGCCCCTTATTATCTTTTTCAATACACAACTCAAAAACTTTTTTTGCAATTTTTAAAGTCAGCAGACAAAAAAACCGGTCGACAATTCTGCCGATTTTTTTGAATTCAGAAGGGCCAGTTCTATAG